TGTGAATGTGTTGACTCGTCTGTAGGCAAATACTAGAGACATTGTAATCATGCACTTCTCTCTTTTCTTACTGTTCTCTATGATGAAATATATATATACATATGTACACAAAACTAATTGATATGTGCAATGATTTATGACATTTTTATAGAGTATAAGTGTATTTATTTACGAGCCTGTGAGAAAGGAGAAATTTGTGGTTGTCAGCATCATACAAGAATCAAGAAAGGCATCTCCACAACTGTATTTATTTTTGTAAATTTGAAAAAAATCAAGAGATTCCTGTGACAAGTGTTGGTTTATTTTTCTCTTGTAGTTGTGGTCATCTGTGACATGAACATTTTAATTGAGAAGATTTAGATATCGTTCTAGACAGCATATTCAGTACTTATAAATTTCGTGAAGAATAACTTACTCGCATCTATAAGTGATTATTGAATCAGAATTAAAGGAAGTCTGTTTTCATGAATGAGAATACCTAAGGAAAGTATGTGAGTAATATGAATATGAATAATTTCATTACACTAATATATACATGACAGAGAATGACATTGAGATACCTCGAATTTGAGTCGGTGATAGCAAGGCATTGCAACCTTTATTTCTTGGACCGAATTGCGTAGCTATTCATTGTACACGAATAACAAAAGTGCCAATATGTATATAGTTAGTGACGGAAATATATAAATATATCTACAATAATGTCCATAATTTTATTAGTATTTTGCAATATGAACTAACCTTTCACGAGTTCTAAAATTTGTAATCACCATGATGAAAGGAAATAAAAAAACAGGATGTCTCATAATCTTCTGTATCGGGTATTTAAGTGTTTATGGAACTTATCAGGATGGTGTAGTAGAATGGAGAAATGTTAACTCAATGGGACGATTGAATATTGAAGTTAGAACGAAAGGTAACCTGAATAATACTGACGACTCGAATGATGACAACATTTTCAGCTGTCCAACTAGCTGCCTGGTCATGATGAACTAAGAGTGAGGTGCAGGTAGTTAATTGTCGTAGAAACTATTTGAGGAAAGCGGATTGATGAGGCCGTAAATCTGATCTGTAGAGGTAACAGAAACACTGATATTCCTTAGGAGATTAGCTACTCGCCTATGATATTAGCTAGTCATTTTTGGAAGAAGTTGGAATTCATGAGCTATTGGATCACTTCTCAGAGGCTGAATGATCTACGAGGCCACCCTGCAGCCAGAAGTTTCTGACTTCAAACCACAGTGAGTGTGTACTGCTGAAGAGTTTGAAAGTTTCTGTTCAGTAATAACAGGTTTTCCAATGGTTCTCAAACTGATGTCAACTCGTAACTAAACATGTGGACTATCTAAAAAAAGCCATAATAATGATAGTGATAATGTCAAATTGCAAGTGTCGTGTAGAAGGCATGCAGACAGACAGAAAAAGTATATTTTCTCATAGAGAAGTTTTATAATTACTTTTATACAGATTGAAAGGTAGATGGTTCCGAGATATTTCGTCGGTAATATTCACTGCAAAACTTCCTGAAGAAAATGTCAAAATGAATAGAGGTACACTTTTATATACAATTCTACGACTGAGTGAGAATGAATGTTCGATAGTTGGTTTCTCTGGTATTCACCGAGAGATCTAGACGTAGTGGTAATCAGGAATTCTAATTTCTCTCCTGATTTAATATGCTGGGTGGTTAGTGTATACCGAAGTAAATTATGCATCATACTGAAATACCAAAAGACAGTTGGTCAGTAATGCAATTAGTTTATGATCTCATTTGAATGAAGCACAGCAAAATGACGTGATTTCAGATGATTGCAGGTGACCAGCCGGAAGCCTCTGATCCAAATTTCGCGCTTATTGGCAGTCAGCAGGCTGCTTCTCCGAGATCGGGAACCGGGTCATTCAGTTCTACAGTCAAAGACATTGTCACTGAATTATTCGGGCTCGTGATATATCTCCTGCATGACTGTATTCGACACAAGGTAGCAACAACGGGTGCCAACAAGCACGAAACTTCCAACCACGTAATAACTACAATTTACGGTGCACCATGATGCTGATTCACTTTGACTAGTGATCAAACACAGAAAAGTTAACCGATACAATCCAGTACGCACCAAACGAGGAAATGGATGCATGACGCCATTATCTACGGTAAAGAATTTTCAAATGATTTTCAAATAAATAAATCTGTGGAATCCACTAGCTAAACGACAACCACTTAAAAGAGAGTGCCGTCACTGTCACTTTAAACTGGAGTTAAAATATTCTTTGTGTAAAAGAAATCATACCGTATTTCTCTTTCAATTCTTTCATGCTCGTTATTAAATCTATCGAATTTCATATGCAAGAAATTCAGGATGTACATGTTAACTTGATTGGGATAATAAAAGACGCGGACAAAACGAAGAAAAACAGAAGTAGAACGAACTAACAAGAAAATCTCTGAATATGTGGTTGCAGTAACAATCAACCGAAACTAAAATGAATTCACTAATCGCCGATATCGAATCCAGGAATATTCTCTTCTTGAATTCAACCTGCATAACTTGAAGCCATATGTGAACTGTTATCATGAGACTCATCTGAAAGTGAACAGCACCTGTCTGTACTTGGTTGGATTTTCAAGTGACTACTGTTTCTTACCCATAGTGTAAGTGTGTGTGATCACTGACCAAACCAATAAAAATTTCATCTATATCCGTCGTCTTCGGGTGCAAGTCACAACAATCACAATGGGTCAACTAGGTCTATAAAAGGATTCATTTAATTGATGTCATATTCTGATGAATTATTTGTGATGTCAGTAAACAAAATTTATTCAAATTTCACAAACCTTTGTAAACTTCTACTAGGCTGTGGGAAGCATAGTAAGTTTCCTGGCATTTCATAACTGAAAAGATGATCAATTCTCCTTATAAAATTTGTCAATTGACTTACATCTCTTGAAACGCCTCTTGTTCTTTATTACCTTTCTTACTAATTTTACTGAAGTGGAGAAAATCAGGTGAAAATTAGTTATATGTATGTATAGCCAGAGACATATTCGAAAAGTGAACTAAACAGCTTCATATACACATTCAATATCAAATTCATCTTCATCGAATAAATCATGAAACGACACTTCGACAAAATATGCCTTGAAGGAACTAGTTGAGTACACGTAGACAAGTGTCCCAATAGTGGTATAGTGGAAAGAACACAATAATTGAGATATATTTCAGTGGCTTTGGAAATTCACTAACAAACAAGTACATTTGTAATGTAGATTCGGTTGATATTGACTGGCAGTGGAAACCTGAATTTGCATTTCATTCTATTTAGGACTAGTCAGCAGGATATACACACATTTCCAGTGAATGATGGTGTTCTCACTGACGGTCGAAACCTGCATTCACACTCTCGAATGACAAAGTGCCTCAGTGGTAAAAATCACCAGAAGACAAGTGGAGTTGCCTTAGACTTCGACTGAAATTCAGAATGATACTGAAATCAATAAGACATGAGTGCATATTTTATGCTATTTAATCCAGTTGTTTTTACAGCACGTTGTACTGGATGCCCAAAATTGTCGATTTCTCGGTTCTCATTCTGTTATTCAATCATAAATTCGACATTTGCAAAGGAATACGTTTTTATTGGAAGAGGTGAATTAAAACATATCCATCTCACCTTGTGCCTTTATATCTGATTTACATCGACTACTGGTATCTTCATTTAGGCGAATAGCACCTATAAGACGGTTTGAAGTGGAGAAATGAACTTGAAGATAATAAAATTCTCAATAAAATAACCTATTTCATGTTGCAACTCAGTGTATATTTCAAAGATTTACTTCGTCCATTGTTCACATAGTAGAGAAGTCAAAAATGACTGAAGTCTTTCTTCAGTTGAGCGTAACTGACGATTGTCTATCTGTGTGTAATGCATTACAACGATAATCGTGTTCATATATCAAACAAGAAGGTGGTGGTCTGTGACATTCATGGATTCAGGCTTAGAAAAGTGATGATTTTGGAACTCAGTAGTCTAGTGAACAGTAGTCAAATGTTTGCACTCAACAACACATTGACTTATACAAACTGATGATTCCAATAAAGAATGAACTCAATACCGTGGTTTCAAACATTTACTCAGTGAAGAATCGATAGTATCCCTTTTGGTTCTGAGTGATACACATAGCTTCGACAACAGATCTCCATTTCACCATGTTTTCTGAAGTCGTCTCCAAGTGTTTTCATGATCTTCAACGTGCTGTGATCCCTTCCATACAGAATTCACTAAATATTCGTTTCCCATTCGAGTTCAACTCGATGGTCGGCAGTGATCTACTCACAGTGAGTTTAATCCACCTTCTTTTGAAATCCTTAACATGCAGAAAGTCTTCAGTAATCTTACTGTATTCAACTACTTCTCACGAGGTTTCTGCACATGCTTATGTCAAAATGCACATAATAAAATGTACTGTCTTTAATGCATCCTATCTATATGATATAGTATAAAAAAGTGCTGACAAACTGACAAACGATCAAATAAAAATTTAAATTACAGATAGAACCGTTGATATTAAATGTGGTGAGACTTGCCTTCATAATTCTTGATTATTTCTTCCACCTCAACTGTCTGATTTCTGAGGAATTCGTCATCTTGAAGTAGAGAATAAAGTGTATTTAATTGAATCGAATGCAATCTCATTTCCGCTGTTGTGATATTGATAAATACATAAAGGGGCTGGAGATCCTTCCATGTGAGACGTGAAGAAGAAGAGAATAAGAAGCGTACATAGTAAATATTCTGATGAATGCATCTAAGATGTGCATATTGCGTGTGATTCATTGTGAAATTGCTTCAAACATCACCAATTCTACCTTCATATGATTCAGTCAATTATCACAATGAAGATGATGGTAATAAATCGAAGGTTTGACAAATGCAGATGTCTAGTTATATTTCACCAGTGTATATAATGGTCAAGGCAGATAATGAACAGAGAAATGACTTACTTGCTGATTCGCATGTACACAGAAAGAAAGCAGTTACAAGTAGGCAAGTAGATGTGGACGCCAACGCCATGGTTATTCTGCATCTCTTCATATTCGGTTGTATTTATATGAGAATTTCCAAGAGTAAAGCTATGCTATATCAGCACTTGACAGACTGATACCCCTTGAGTATTGGTCATTGATAAACATAATCACACGCAAGTACACGTTAACAAAAGATTACAAATATTTTTTTCTAATTACAACACTAAATACTTTACAGTGCACTGGTCAAAATTTGCGCTTTCATTATTAATTAAAACTCGTACTGTGCCTTATTCAACGTAACTGAGAAATGAAAGGAATTATTTCATCATCATACACTTTTACAACATACGATGTTACCAATAGAGTGGAATATCGGATGGTGTCTCATTGATTTTCTACATTGTTACTGAAAATATTATTAAGGCCATCTTGTCTGGAAACCCCACCATTCTAATACACATAGAAATACAATTATTTTAATTGAAATACCACATCAAGAGTTATCAGAAGAGAATCACGTCTCCGAATAACTTCTAAATCGGCTGATTAGTCTTGTTTGAATTCATCTGAAAATGGGATTTCCACAAGGAAAGCTTCATTGATAATTGAGAATAACGCAGCAGGTTTTCAAAGTACCCGAGTACTGAATGGGTGAAATCAGAGCTGTAATGTGAGAAATTATTACCTCACAGTACAACACCAGTTTCTAAGACGCTTTTTGTTTTTCTCACAGCTTGGACTCCAAAATCAGTGACAGCTGGATACTTGATGACTGATGTTCTACAGAAACAAGTAGTGTAATGCAATGGTCGGTTTGATTGGTTATGCAATCAGAGTGGCAGAAATCCAAGTAGAGTTATGATTGTATTCAGAGATTGATATCCAGAAGTGTGAGAATGATATACTTGGCAGATTCTGGTTGTGTCGTTGATTTACCCCACCGAACGAGCCTTATGTAGTGCGGTATGTCTAATGACACACTTATGTGGTACACTGCCTGAATCACAACTACTTATAACAATACCCAAATCAAAAGGTGTCCGTTATTGAAACGTTTGTCGTAGTGAGTGACATATTAAAATAGAATAAAATATTAGATTTATTTGGGGAGACGATTTCATGATATGTCTGGCTAATTTTGCATGAACAAAGAACTCTGAGGATGTGCATGCTACCAGGATGCAGGAGGGACGTAATTTGACTTACGAGGCTGGTCAGTTGCGTACTCTTTGAAACAAAAATTGATGGGAGAAAATTTCACTCCTCGAAGTGTGTACATTGCTTATCAGCAACTAATTTGCAAATTAGGAATTCGATTAATGACACCATCGGTTCACCCAAGCGGCCTGCTAGACATCTGGTGGTTTGAAGTGACTCGGCTGTCTGAAATGAGTCAAACCGGGTACACTGATGACGAGTTCGGCCTCAAACGAGTGAAACAGCCATCTGGTGTTTAGATCACCTCAACTTTGCTAACAAGCCCTGCTGGTTGGCATGAGTGGTGGTGTCCAGGTATTCATTTCAGTCAATGAGTAGCAGATAGTTTCTGCTGACAGGAAAGTGCGACCTTTGACACAGACCATAGAAGGAATAAAATAAATCACAAGAATGAATTAATCCTGTACATAAATACACAGGAGTCAAGATTACATCTCAACAAAATTTACTGGCGACATTATGCAGGAACCAGTGTCTTTTTCACACACACACACACAAACACACACCTTCACTATTGGACTAAACTACGTTCCCATGTGTGCACTATCTACTCGTACAACGAATAATATAGAAGGATTTTGGATGAAGATATGAAACTAACGTGGTCGTAATTTGACTACAACAGTACAGATGGTGAAGTACTTTGTACTTTATTATATGTGACTCTCTTCTGATCGAATTTCACCTCCACCAACTAGTTTGCCTACATCATTCTGACTACTCCAGCAGACTTCAGTAGCTTACCTGGAGTTTGTGGAAATTCATCTCGGGACACAAAGAACGTAGGTAGTCATTCCCTTAAGATGCATGATAAGTGACCATTATGACTGTTTTACTCACAGAACATTTGTAGTGGTATCTTCTGTCTTGCTGATCCCAGTGATATGCGCTTATTATGATGACTTTTGTTGTTAATATGCAGTTGAATGTCAAATCATGATAAACGAGTCTCATGGTGTGTTGGATATGAAATTCTTGATTTCATTTGGAATGATACAGAGTTTCTCTGTGTGGCATCTAAAGTCATTTATAGGCTGCAGTTGAACAATTTAGGCATTCAATGTAGCAAGGACCAATACAAATTAGCCTGATTCCTTAATTCTATCATCTGCTCATCTGACACTGAATTAATACATCGGCGTCACCTTTACATTCAGATTGTGGAAATATTTTCAACACTTAAACAAGGTGAATACATGATGCAGAAATCTGGAAAATACGGAGTGATTAAATAAAATTATCCAATGTTGAAATTGATTGAGTGATAGGCAATTAGAGATGAAATAGTCAGAAAAATAAAATAATGAAGACAATGATAACTAGTGAAATGCTTGGTGGGAGGGTAAATCGGCAATATCTTTGCATTAATTTGATGGCAGCCAAGGCCAGGAAAGTGGTTGCACAGATTTCTTCTGAGCATACATGTCTGGCTTCTTCAAGTGGTTTCGGATGACGTCAGCTGTGTGTAGAAGACAAATTCGTGAAGCAAACTTAGTATTGGTCGCAATGCTATCAATATCTTTGATTAATTTTTAATGACGGCTTTATGCTAACTATTATCCAGTGTTCTACGACAGCTACGGATAGATCTTGTTTTCTGCTTGCAGGATTTTGACGATGAATCTGCCTAATTTTATGCTCGGTATTACTAGCTTCACAGGAGCAGTCACACTGGAAGATACAAATATGGGGGAGAAGGGATGTTAGACAGCCTATCCTTATTTCTTGAAATTGGAATCAGATTGGTTGTGAAGAGACAGCGTACCTCTATCGCATACTGAAATATCTCATAAGTACTTTGACTTACCAGAATCAGAGTTCCTAATCTCGTTTCTGTTCTTCTATTCATCTAGTATCGTTCGATTCTTATTTACCTGAAATGGTAACGAACTTATCTAACAGAGGATTATATTCTACGACCCTGCTCAAATGGTACCCCGTGCTTGATCATTTTGTATTCCTTTTTATTATTTGCATTCTGTGTTATGCTGACACCATCCTGTTGACACAGGTAAGTAAATTTCCTTTGATAAGAAAATATTCATGGATGATTCGGAACTACACAAGCTTCAAAAATTCGCCATAATCTCCCATGTAATGTCATCCTAAGAAACTAAAGTTAGACAGGATTGTATTTCTGAGAGTTTTCAGAAGTCACTAATGAATGGAATTCATTTGAGCACTGAACACCAGATTGAATGTTTGAGATAAGTATATCCAAATTATAGTTAAAGAGTCGTTACAGTGCGGTTGACTCACTTAATCATTTCCTCAATAATCTCAATTGTTTTGGTTTTGATCTCACATTCCTTAGTAATCTGCAGTCCCTACCTTGTGTTTTGGCGTTATTACTTATGGGTTAGATTGGTTACTGATTCATTTTGTACTAGTATATCTCACTGTGGAAATCATTTTTCGTGCTGCCAGATTTGACATTTCGCCAAAGCATTTCGTGCTGAGGCTTGATGACGTCTTCATCAGTCAGTCCAACAAAATGTGATGCATATTTAGTAGTCGTGTGAATATCAAGGAATCACTTTTTCGTAAAAGAGATAATATTTTTCATTCCGGTGGAATTGTTGGAATCCATGCAGTGCTGTTGGATTGATGTCTCGGTTGATTTGGAGTCTAAGAATAAGTGTGCAGTTTCTGTTTTCATGTCTCCCGTTGTTTCCACACAACAATTTTCTTTCAGCTAGCTAAGACCAATTGCAGATGTCTTCGAAGCAATCCCGGGTGACAATCAAATCGATTAATTAGACCACTGGTTGAGTGACACGTATAATCGAGACACAATGAGTTTGTTTTAAGCACGCTACTATATAGTACATAAAACAATGAAATATAATACCCAAACCTAATGCTTAACTATAAGAAAATGATTGCTGTCGGTGATAAGGAGGATTAATGCAATACATGAGTTAAACTTCGACAGCAAAGAACATTGATGGTAATAGACTAGCAAATGTGAACTGATACTACTTACTAGAAGTAGGCAGTATAAAGCTGAACATGGTTAAACGGATAACAAATCACAGGCGATAATAATACCTTCATTCTAAACAGTACTTTTTCGTACAAATGGGGAGTCCTTAGCATGTAATACAACATTCTATCTTAATTCCTCATTGCAGGGACAATAATTGAAATAGCGCACTCACTTTAACTTCATTTCTCAGTAAGAAGTGAATATAAAAAAATCAAGTGAGAATATTAAAAACAATGTTACAATGAGAAAGAAACAAAATACAGTTTACTTAGAGTTCCTCAGTAACTCGGTAATTTGCCGTCTCACACGTTTCTCATCACATATATAAGGTATTGTAGAGATTTTGTCCTTAGTCGTACGAATATACAGTCTTCTATACTTGCTCCTAGTTCTACCTGATGAGATGCAGGAAGAGAACTGTGTATGGAGAGAATGTTCAGAGTCTGACAAGATACTATTTTCTAATTGCTTGCAGGAATCCAAGTATCCACCCACAATAATATTAACGAGTTCGTTTAGCTACACCCTACTCGAACTACTGACGGCTTTTAGTGCCCTATGCAGTATAACAAAGTTTTTGTTAGTTTGCCCGGTAAAGATTAAGCCGGAACAGCAAAGTGTGTGCAGAATGCAAGAATTAACAAACGTTAACAGTAGAGACGGAAGGATACTAAATGCCTGAATAGAACATCAAACGAGATATGGTTCTACAAAAACTACCATGATGTGGGAAGACCAAGAAAAGTTGATCAGAGGAAATTCACAGTCCAAGGTATTTAACATTCGATTTGGCTTCAACTCCAGTATTATTTATGATAATGGAACCATGCGA